TGTTTAGGAGTGCTATCAAAAAATATTCCCGACTTTGACACAAATCCAACAGAAAAAAAAATTAGAATAAAATGTCATTAAGGCCCCTATCCAATTAAATGGCTTCATTAGAACTACTAACTTCAGGTTTGATTCTTTGTACAAATAACTCCTTCTTCTAATTTTTCCTGTCATCTCCCCAGTACCCTCCTCCATTCGATGTGACTAATGTAGGAGCATGCGATTTGCAATTCTTCCTGAACGGATGCTAGTGCTACCCAGACTTGATGTAGAAAGTCATCTAAAGACTGTCTGAAGTCACATATTGTGATGTGCTCTCAACAGCAAACCACTTCACAATCCTGTCCTTGCCTGTCTGCCCAGCTCACACCCTGAGCTGAGCCTGCCAGAGCCGCGCTGCTTTGCACTACATTCTCCTGGATGCAGGTCCAAATCCAAAACAGCCAAAACATCCAAGTTTACGTCCCTCTCCTTAACTCTCTATCCCTTCCCCAGTCTCCTGGAAAACCTCAAACAGATTCAGGATGGTTGGCCACTTTGTACTCTTCTCTAAATTTTTTTAATATCTAAATCTTTCCTCCACAATGTTTAAANCCCTCACTAACTACCCACTGTGTACTCTGTACTGAGTCAGGTCCTCTTCAAGAGAAAATGTGAAGTGTTTGTGCTCTGCGATGGAGAAAGACAAACAACAGGACAAATAAAGAGGAGATCAATAAATAGAATAAAATCCACACTGAAAATCTAGAATTCACTGCAAAGATATAGCTCGCCTTTGCTGATGAAAAAATGAGAGGATGTTCTACATTAGAACAGTCCTGGACTAATATTAAGGGAATATGACATTTTAAACATTCCTTCCTAAACTACCAAAATGCTTAATATCAGTAGCAATTCTTCATAACCATTGGAACTGGCTATTAAATCACTGTATCAACAAAAAATACCCAACATATTGCTACTGGATTAAAAGATGGGATGAAAACTAGACACAGCCAAAACTGTGAACTGAGCTCAGTATACATTTAGTATATACCCATCCCTGTTTCTTCCATACACCATCCACATTCCTGGAAGCACTGCTCACTTACACATAAATATTATAAGAAGCACATGGTCTGGCATGTAGAAAGGCCTCCTTTAAAAAAAAAAAAAAAAAAGGAACACATGCATTTTAATAGGAGACAAAATTATTGTAACGACCATCCGATTGTACAGCAGAGGTGAGTGGAGATTTCTTTTTTCTAGAAGTTTTGTGTCTTCCTGGTACTCCTAAAATCATGCACACAGGTGGCAATCTATTTTATTAGAGTCAAAAGTGGGTCTGCAACAAGATACTAGGATGTTGTTGAAGTATCTCTTCACAGACTGCTTTTTATTGCAAGGGAAAAACAAAACAAAAAAAAAANCCACTTTGTACTCTTCTCTAAATTTTTTTAATATCTAAATCTTTCCTCCACAATGTTTAAAACTACTTACAGGTGAGGGAAACCTCCCATCCTTAATATTCCAGTCCTCTGCCATCAAAAATAAGGCTAAATCCAGCACAGCTACTCAACAAATACTAGGTAATTGACACGAGACTGTGCTGAGATATTGCTTTCTTCCTGAATGAGATGGAAGAGAGAATATGAAAATAACCAGGTCATACATAAATGAGGATCACACTTAAGTTCTTCAAAAGCATTATCACTGGCCTCTTGCATCCTCTACTTCCTTTTCTTTTCCTTCTCCTCATGACTTCCTTTTTCCACCTGAGCCAGCTATTCCCCTCTCCTGTTTTAAAATCATGGAGACATGACTGCCCTAGAGAAGAAAAACAAGGAGTAAGAATTCCTTATACCAAATATGACGCCTCGTTCAACCAAAACAAACAAAAAAAACCTCAAAAACCTTACACTATGCAAACATTAAAATAACACAAAACATTGTAAGCTGGAGATGCAGTAGAGGAATCTTCATTTCTAGAGGTTTTGTGTCTTCATGGTACTCCCGAAATCACGGATACAGGAATATTCTTTTTAAAAACTCTACTAGAGTGAAGGTTCAAGGACATTCTAAGCAGCATGCTTAAATAAAGGTGTCAAGGTAGGTTAGACCCGGTACATCCTGCATGTGCAGAATATTAATACAATCTACCCAACTAGAGCAGAACATTGGAGAAAGTGAGCAGTGACTGGCTTGAGTCCCTCCCGGTGCCCTGGGCTGAGCTGCAGCTCAGCACCTACTGCTTCAATCGCTGGTTGGCTGCCAGGGTGGCTGAACTGACTGCATAATTGATACATTACTTGGAAGTCAAGTTTCCCACCGTAGGAGGACACTAGGATTTTCCACATAATACAATGATAGCAAACATGGTTAAATTCAGGAAAATCCCATGAAGTTTTATGTGCACAAGGAAAAGTGTCAGATGACTTTCAATTTAGACAGCATAAGGAAATGCATTTAAAAGAAAATAATATATTTTTTACCTTATGATGGAATGTTTTCAGCTATCAGTTAAAACCCAGAGGTTTCTACATCAAAT